GCTCCTCCCCTGAGCTGCCCCTATTCGTTGCATGGATATTTCTCTCATCCAACTTGGATTTTGACACCGTCAAACTGCCCCTTTGCTTATTTTAAAACTATATCGATTTCTTCTGCCTTTATGCTTTGTTGCTAACCTCTAATGGCTAGCATATTAAAAGTTTTTAATGTAAATACAGTGACTGTATTATTTTTTGTTTGTTTGAGATGCAGTTTTGCTCTGTCACCCAGGCTGGAGTGCATTGGCACATTCTTGGCTCACTATAATCTCTGCCTCCTGGGTTCAAGTGATTCTCCTGCTTCATCCTCCCATGTAGCTGGGACTACAGGCACGTGCCACCATGCCCGGCTAATTTTTTGTATTTTTAGTAGAGACAGGATTTCACTGTGTTCGTCAGGCTGGTCTCAAACTCCTGACCTCGTGATCCACCCACCTTGGACTCCCAAAGTGCTGGGATTACAGGCGTGAGCCACTGCGCCTGGCCAGTGACTGTATTTTTTAAATTAAAAATTGGAGTATGACCTGATTACTCCATAGACCATTTTAAATCTATACTATTCTAAACAGTTTTGAGTAAATGATCACAGTCAAAAGGAGAGTTTTAATTTCTGTAATGGAGTAGTGCCTTCTATTGAACCAACCTTTCCACAGATAACAATGATCGATTCTGGACAAAATATTTAAAAAAGTATCACCTGAAAGCATTGGAAAAACGACCAGAAGCAGAAAAGCAAAAATGTTTTATGTCCTTTTATCCAAGGGCAGGCCCTCATTTCAGCCTCCAAGTGGCTAAAACTTTGATAGAAAAATCCACGGTTTTATCAAACTGCAGCAACCACAGCAGCTTGGAAGTTAAGGGAAACATCCTGGAATGGAGAAAGCCAGAGAGGGCTTATTTGGATATAAATTCTCTGGCTGATCCACTAATGTATAGAGTAACACTCTAAATAGCCCATCTGAGGCTAAAATAACTAAACAGATTTATATTTCTGCAAAAGTGACTAACTCATCCCGGTTTCTTTGGGATGCTGAAAGTTCTAGAAAAACCCTGAATCCAGGCTTATTGGAACATTTGGTCACCCTAGCTGGTGCCCACCACAGGTGAAACAGAGTTTGAGTTTAAACCAAGGCAAGTTAGTTGCATGGTTTAAAAAGTAAGAAGTCTGGCCAGCCATGGTAGCTCACACCTATAACCCTAGCACTTTGGGAGGCCAAGGTGGGAGGATTACCTGACACCAGGAGTTTGAGACCAGCCTGGGCAACATGGCGAGACCCCTTCTCTACAAAAAATACAAAAATTAGCTGGGCATGCTGATGCATACCTATAGTCCCAGGTACTTGAGCGACTAAGGTGGGAGGACCACCTGAGCCCAGGTAGGTCAAGGTTTCAGTGAGCTGTGATCACATCTATAGTCCCGGCTACTCAGGAACCTGAAGTGGAGGATTGCTTGAGCCTGGGATGCAGAGGGCTCAGGTCACACCACTGCACTCCAGCTTGGGCAACAGAACGAGACCCTCTCTCAAAAAACTAAAAATAAAAATTATGCTGTCTGAAGGTCACAATGATGTTACCATATCAAGCTGAAAATGTCACCACTATCTGGAGAGTTGGACATGTTTTATTGGAAATATATATATTTTTTCTCTGAATCTGTTATGAACATGTTGGTTGGCTGGGTTCAGTAATAAATATGTGAGATCTTTCATTTCAAAAAAGAAAAAAGAAAGAAAATTAAAACCAAAAAGGCTAGGCATGATGGCTCATGCCTATAATCACAGCTCTTCTTTGGGAAGCTGAGGCAAGAGGATTGCTTGAGGCCAGGAGTTCAAGACAAGCCTGGGCAACATAGTGAGACTCTGTCACTACAAAAAACTTTAAAAGCCAGATGTGGTGGCACACACCTGTAGTCCTAGGTACTCAGGAGACTCAGGCAGGAGCATTGCTTGAGTCCAGGAGCCTAAGGTTACAGAGAGCTATGATCATGCCACTGCACTCAGGCCTGGAAAACAGTGCAAAATCCTACCTCTTAAAAAAAAAAAAAAGTAAAACAAACAAAGAAAAATTCCTACATGTTTCAGAGGACCAAATAGAATTCAGAATTTATGTAATATATAATTTATGATGTCCAGCATACAATAAAAAATTATGTGGTCATATGAAGATGCAGGAAAATGTGACCCATACTCAAGAGGAAAGGAAATCAATGGTAACGGACCTCAGGATGACATACGTCTCAACTACACATGGCACATTCACCAAGAGCACAAGTCTTAATACCTTTTTTTTTTTTTTTTGAGACAGAGTCTTGCCCCGTTGTCCAGGCTGGAGTACAATGTGCGATCTTGGCTCACTGCAACCTCCATCTCCCAAGTTCAACAATTCTCCTGCCTCAGCCTCCTGAGTAGCTGGGATTACGGGCACCCACCACCATGCCCAGCTAATTTTTTGTATCTTTAGTAGAGATGGGGTTTCACCATATTGGCCAGGCTGGTCTTGAACTCCTGACCTCATGATCCACCTGCCTCAGCCTCCCAAAGTGCTGGGATTACAGTGTGAGCCATCGCACTCAGCCAAGTCTTAATACTTTTAAAAGGACTGCAATCACACAGACTGTGATCTCTGACTGTAGTGCAATGGAATTTGAATTCAATAGCAAGTTGGCTAAAGAATGCTTGAATTCCCCCAAATATCTGGAAATTAAACTTATAAATAACCAGTGGGCCAAAGAAGTCACAAGGGAAATTAGAACTGAATTATAATGAAAATAAAAAAGCATTTTTGAGATGCAGCTAAAGCAATGCTTACAGGAAAACGTATAGCTTTAAATGTTTATAGTTAGAAAAGAAGAAAGGAATAGTCACTCACTAAAATGTCGTCTTAAGAGGGTAGAAACAGAGCCAATTAAGCCCAAAGTGAAAGGAAAAATCACTTTTGAACAAGTTCTAGTTTAACTGTGTTAAAAATAGATGTATGCCTCCTACCCTGTAACTCAGTAATTCACAGCTAGGTATTGACCCAAGAGACATGAAAACATATGACCACAGAAATACTTGTACAAGGATGATCATACTCTGGTCTAATCATGAGAAAAACAAATCGAGTTGAGGGACATTCTTCAAAACACCTGACTCAAAACTGTCAAGATCATCAAAATAAGGCAAGTCTGAGAAACTGTCCCAACCAAGAGAAGCCTAAGGAGGCAAGATGACTAAATGTAATGTGGAATCCTGGAAGGGATCCTGCAACAGAAAAAGGACATTAGATGAAAACTAAGGAAATCTGAATACTTGGTAATAATGTATGAATATGTGTTCATTCATTACAACAAATGTGCCATACTAATATAAGATGTTAATAGTAGGGGAAATTGGGTGTGGGGTATATGGGAACTCTCTGTGCTATCTTTGCAATTTTTCTGTAAATTTAAAACTACTCTAAAATTTAGAAGTTTATTCTTTTAAAAAGGAATATCATAATAGTTTGATTTATATATAGCCCAAACTGGAAACAGTCTAGGTGTCCATCAACAGGAGAAAGGATAAACAAACTGGGACATTCATATGGAATACTAGTTAGCAATAAAAAAGAATGAACTACTGATAAACATCACAGAATGGATGTAACTCAAAACATCATGTTGAATGAAAGAAGCCTCAGGCAAAAGAATTTATACCATATGTCTGTGTGATTCTGTTTTTATGAAGTTCTAAAATAAGCTAAACTAATCTATGGTGGTAAAAATCAAAACAGTAATTGTCTTTAGAGTTTGTGGGTGGGAATTGACTAGGAAGAGATGTGAGGAAACTTTTCTGGGATGATGGTAATGTTCTGTATCTTGATAGGGGTTTGCATTATATGAGGATATGCATTTTTAAAAACTCAGTGAATGGTACACTTAACATCCGTGCATTTCATTGTATGTAAATTTTACCTTTTAAAATCTTGTAATCAGATATTGAATTCTAGTTAATAATAATCATGCTGAAATGTTAGGACTAAGGCATACTGATATCTGCGACTTATTTTGAAATGCATAGAAAAAGCTGGATCGATGAATGAATGGATTGAGTGATGAATGGGTAGAAAGATATGTGATAAGGAAAAATAGCAAAATGTTAATTGTAGAATCCAGAGGGTGAGTAATGGGTGTTCAACTGTGCAGTTTATTTTATTTTTTATTTTACATATTTATGGGGTACATGTGAAAGCTTGTTACATGCATAGAATATACAATAATCAAGTCAGGGAATTTGGTGTGTCTATCACCTGAGTATTTATCATTGTGTTGGAATGATAAAGTGTTGGAAACAATTCAAGTCCTCTCTTCTAGCTATTTTGAAATATATAATACATCGTTGTCACTCTACTCTGCTGTCAAACATTAGAGCTTATGACTTCTATATAACTATATGCCTTACCCATTAACCAACCTCTCTTCATCCCCCATTCCCACCCACATACCCTATCATTCTACTTTCCATCTCCATGAGATCAACATTTTTAGCTCTCACATATGAATGAGAACACATGATATTTGTCTTTCTGTGCCTGACTTATTTCACTTAACATAGTGACTTCCATCCACGTTGCTGCAAATGATATGATTTTATTCTTTTTAACGGCTGAATAGTATTTTATTGTATATATATACCAATTTTAACTCTTTTTTTCTATGTCTTCAACAGTGTTCGTAATAAAATATTGGGGGAAGAATAAATATATGAAATTATTTCTGATGGGACCCACATTTTTGTGTATTGTTCTTGGTGTAAGTAGATCTCTGGCAGAAAGTTCTTAGAGTAACATTGCTGCATCAATTTTTTTGTTTCATTCTCCTTGAGAGGCTTTTAGGGAGAGTATAGAGAAAGAGTAGTCTTGCTCTGAAAGAGGAATTCTGCTGCTAAGGTTTCCGAAATGGTATTCCTTATTAAATTTGGAATGCTCAAACCTGTAGAAATGTACCCTAAGTAGCTAATATTTATAACCTTTTTCTTTTCAGATATACAAACAAATATAGAACTGAAAAGCACTCAGGAGCAGTCTGTGCCCACAGGTAACATCAGGTCTTTCCTCTCTAGAAATATACCTTTACTAAAAATACCAAAGAAAGAAGAATGTTCTTATTCTGGTTGCAGTAAAAATGCTATGGAAATGTGTGTTTTTTAAAATATGGTTGTCTCTTGCTGATGAAAAATAACTCATCCATTTAGATCATGTAAGTTCTTTAGCATCTTAGGGCCAAACATACGTTACCTAATGTTGATTACTGCTTGTTTTTAATTTTTCGGCTCATTGCTCTGAAGACAGTTTTTGTTGAATAATATATAGTAGCTTGTATTTGAACGACTTGCAATTTTTACTCTAGAACAGTGGTCTGCAAACTTTTTTGTAAAGGGTCAGATAGTAAATATTTAGACTTTGCAGGCCATGTATGATCTCCGTCACACCTTATTCTTTGTATTTCTTACAACCCTTAAAAAATGTAAAAACCATTCCTACCTCCTGGGCCCACACAGAAGCAAGCTATGGTCAGACTTGTCCCTCATACCATAGTTTACTGATCCCTGCTTTAGAATAAACTATAAACATCTAAAATAATTTATTTCCTAAAAATAACTTCTGTGTCCTCCATTGATTAACTCACTTTGTGAATCAAAGCTTACATTATATTACAAAATTTATCACTGAAGTGCCTTTTTGTGTTACTGTAAGTTGTAATCAAATCTTTTTTTTTTTTTTTTTTTTGAGGCAGAGACTCACTCTGTCGTTCGGGCTGGAGCACAGTCGTATGATCTTGGCTCACTGCAACCTCCGCCTCCTGGGTTCAGGCGATTCTCCTGCCTCACTCTCCAGAGTAGCTGGGATTACAGATGTGCACCACCACGCCCGGCTAATTTTGTATTTTTAGTAGACACAGGGTGCTCCATGTTGGTCAGGCTGATCTCGAAATCCCGACCTCAGGTGATCCACCCACCTCAGCCTCCCAAAGTGCTGGGACTACAGACGTGAACCACCGGGCCCAGCCAATCATATCTTTTAATTGAACCGAAACTTGCATTAATTGTTCAGGTGTGCACTGTATTTTAGTCATTTCAGGTTTGAGAGAAGTGAACCATTGTTTAGTACAGTATCTTAAAGTTCACAGAGTATATATTATAATATGCAGAAATTAGAAACTTTAGATATTCATAAATCAAACACTGAGTTTGTGGTGACCACATTAGTGATGGGTTTTGTGAAATGTGTTTCTGTTTCGCTCCTGTGTGTATTTGGTTGTGGCTCAGCTGAAAGGAGTGCCACTGCAGAGCTTCTAGTTACCTCTCTACTTCAGCCCAGCCTCAGTGCTACAGAATTCAGTGTCTTTGACTATTTTTGTATTAATGGGAACTCAGCAAATATTTTATTGAAGATTGGGAAGGAGTTAGATAGAAAGAGGGTAACTTTTCAGTTCATTTCTTCTGATATCATCTTTTTGTTAAGCTACTATGCTTGTATGTGAAAATAATTTGAGCTCCCTTGTTCCTTTTTTCTTACTTCTAGTGTTATCCATATTTATTATACATTTCTCTTAAATTTATTTTTTAACAAGTTTGCTGTTTATTTAAGCATGTTTTTATTATGTCTGCTCTCTTTCACCTATGGACTTTCATAACACTTTGTATTTCCTTTATTTAATCCCTTGTCTGAGCCTACCATGTGTTAGAGTGTGAGGTTCTCTTATCTATGTCTCAGAGTATGAGCTCCTTGAAGACAGGCCTAATGACTTATTCATATCTGTAGCCTTGTCAACATTTAGTAAATGTTCAAACAAATACGCTGGGCGCGGTGGCTCAAGCCTGTAATCCCAGCACTTTGGGAGGCCGAGGCGGGTGGATCACGAGGTCAAGAGATCAAGACCATCCTGGTCAACATGGTGAAACCCCGTCTCTACTAAAAATACAAAAAATTAGCTGGGCATGGTGGCGCGTGCCTGTAGTCCCAGCTAGTCAGGAGGCTGAGGCAGGAGAATTGCCTGAACCCAGGAGGCGGAGGTTGCGGTGAGCCGAGATCGCGCCATTGCACTCCAGCCTGGGTAACAAGAGCGAAACTCCGTCTCAAAAAAAAAAAAAAATGTTCAAACAAATAAAGGAACTTGGGGTCCGATATGTTTTCCACAGAATCACATTTATAATAATGTGAAAAGAAGGGGAAAACAGAATTTGGCATACAGAAATCTTATAGATCTTTCTCTTAGGAAAGCGTCTTTCCCAAATTAGGTTATGCCAGTGTGTGCAGGCTTAGTATTTCTTATCACTACGTATTAGTACTTCTTTGTCATAAACAGCAATAGTGTTCATGAGATATACCAACAGAGAGAGAATTTTTCTCCAGGAGGAACATGAGTGCCCTTTAACTCAGATGAAATAAATATTCAAGAAAGTTGTGTATATTCAAAGGGTACATGAGCCCTGGGAATATTTCCTTTCTCTTTTCTTTTTTTTAACAGATGAAGTCTCACTCCGTCACCCAGGCTGGAGTGCAGTGGTGTGATCTTGGCTCACTGCAACCTCTGCCTTCCAAGTTTAAGTCATTTTTTGCCTCAGCCTCCGGAGTAGCTAGGATTACAGGCATGCACCACCACACTCAACTGATTTTTGTATTTTTAGTAGAGATGGGGTTTTACCCTGTTGGCCAGGCTGGTCTCGAATTCCTGACCTCAGGCGATCCACCCACCTCGGCCTCCCTAAGTGTTGGGATTACAGGCACGAGCCACTGTGAACCCTGGGCATATTTCTAAACCTCAAGAGTTTTCATGTATATACCCTTTTGCGTATAAGTGAAGTCACTATCTGTGACTAAAGGATTGCGTGAGGCTGAAAGTTAAATGGGGGTCTACTTAATACATATTTATAAAAATCCTTTGAGGTTGAACTGCATACTTAAAATTCCCTTTATCTTTTAGAAAGTCCAGCAGTTTTGAATGACTACAGTTTAACACAATCTCATGAAATGGAAAATGTGGACAGTACAGAAGGCCCAGTCAATGAAGACGAAGACATAGGAGGTGAGCCATAATGTGCAAACTAAACGCTGATGGCTGTAGATATGGCAAGGCTTAGTGTGGAGAAGAAATCAGCTCCAAGGAAAACTTGCATTTGTGGGTTTAGTTAGGAGTGATTCTGTTTTGTTAATTTCACAAATATTTGCATTTCATAGTTGTAGATTGTCAGCAAATTTCGGTGCTTATCCAGTGTTCCAATTATATTAACTTCACTTAAAACAATGTTTATTTTACGATTTTTCATTATAAAAGTAATACATGTTTATTGTAGAAAGTTTGTCTGGGTTGTTTTCTGATATCAACAAACCAGTTTTTCAGTTCTCCAGACAATGACTTGGTGTCCAACAGTTCAATTCCTTTTTTTTTTTTTTTTTTTGAAACAAGAGTCTCACTCTATTGCCCAGGCCAGAATGCAGTGGTGCAATCTTGGCTCACTGCAACCTCTGCCTCCCACATTGTAGTGATTCTCCTGCCTCAGCCTCCCAAATAGCTGGGGTTACATGTACCCACCACCACACCTGGCTAATTTTTGTATTTTTTAAATAGTGATGGGGTTTTACCATGTTGGCCAGGCTGGTCTCGAACTCCTGACCTCAAGTGATCTGCCAAACTCAGCCTTCCAAAGAACTGGGATTACAGGTGTGAACCATCATGCCTGGCCCAATTCAATTCAAATCTGATTCTAATTCCTGATGTTTGTGTAGATCCCACAGGTTACAGGCTCAGTTCCACATTACTGCACAGTACTGCCCCTGCTTCAGACACCAGTCTCAAGTACCAGGTCCCCAAGTTACCTGCACTTCTATCTGATTAGCTACAAAATTAGGGACTCCCCTCCACATGTTAATAATTTGCTAGGATGACTGACAGTACTTGTTACATAACTCATTTATTCATTCCTTTACTGTCAGCTACTCTTCCTCTTCCTCACTGTTTATGCCCAAACTTTCCCCCTTTGGGAGGAACATTAGGCCACTGAACCGGTTTAGATTGTAGGCAGCAATACTAGTCTAGCAATTACCTCTCCCTCAGTCAACTCCCATACATACAGGGTAAGGGTACACAGGTACAGAATTGGTGGGCTATTTCTACCACTAGGCAATATAACTGCATTCACTATTAACCCCAATTTGGCCAGATGGGGTAAAGACACAGCCTGGCTCATCAGGCCCTTAGGAATTCTGACATAAATGTTTAAAGCTATGGTTGCAGTTTCTTGCTTTAGGAATCATCTCTGTTTCTGGCACTTGCAGTTGCAGTGCCGGTCTTGTGACCACTGCATCTGGCAGGAAAGAGAAAGCTGTGGTGATGATGTAGGGAAGGAAAAGGAAAGAATAGCCATCACACCAACATCCCCCTCTTTGGCAAGAATTGAATAGTCTTATCAGCATCCTCTCCTACCTTCTCTTCCCTAATCCACCAGAAAAACAGAGGAATCTACCTAGTGGGGACATTCCCTTAGCTCATTTGAGTGTGACCTCACACTTGTGCAAATGCATAAACCAACCCTACATGTCTGTACCTCACCCTGTTTTAGACAACCAGTGTTTCAATTGACTGCTCCACTTCTCTATCAAACTATTACTCTGAGGAGGATAACTCTTTACCCATTGTTTGACATTATGGGCTGTAAGTAGAGTACTCCTTAGTATGAAGAAATGTGGCTCAGCCATTCAAATTGGTGCAATATCTTCTGTTCTGATTCTTTCGTGGTACTGACCATTTGTGTCTACCACTAGATAAGCTAAGTCCTGTCCAGAGTCAGTGTTTATCCCTGTCAAAACCAATTTGTAGGATGGGTGCAGTGGCTCACACCTGTAATCCCAGCACTTTGAGAGGCCTAAGCAGGAGGATCACTTGAGCCCAGGAATTCAGGACCAGCCTGGGTAACATGGTGAAACCCTAACTCTGTGAAAATAATAATAATAATAATAATAATAATAATAATACAAATAAATTAGCCAGGTGTGGTGGTTTGTGCCTGTAGTCCCAGCTACTTGGGAGGCTAAAGCTGGAGGATCACTTGAGCCTGGGAGGTTGAGGCTGCAGTGAGCTGTGATCCCACCATTGCACTCCAGCCTGGGCAACAGAGTGAGATCCTGTTTCAAAAGAACAAAAACAGGCTGGGTGTAGTGACACATGCCTGTAATCCCAGCACTTGGGAGGCCGAGGCAGGTGGATCATTTGAGGTTGGGAGTTTAAGACCAGCCTGGCCAACTGGTGAAACCCCATCTCTACAAAAAATTCAAAAATTAGCCAGGTGTGGTGGTGCTCGCCTGTAATTCCAGCTACTAGGGAGGCTGAGGCAGGAGAATCACTTGAAGCCGGGAAGTGGAAGTTGCAGTGAGCTGAGATTGCACCAGTGTGCTCCAGCCTGGGTGACAGAGTGAGACTCCATCTCAAAAAAAGAACAAAAACAAAAATGATTTGTTGTCCTTGGGACTACCAGCATTGGCTCTTCCATGCAATCTACTGGCCAGCCATGTGTGGGATCTTCCCCCTGGGGGTCTTCCCCATAGTCATCTACAATAACTGTCTCTTTTATTGGCAGACAGAATAGTTTGTTGCTATTTTGTGCCTCAGGGGGTGCAAGAGAATTCAGCTCATCTTCTGCAGTGGCTGTAGCACCCCCATCCTGTCTACTCATTTTATGGACCCACATGCTCACCTCAAACAAGCACACTGTGATACCTACTAATTGGTTCTGATCATCTTCCAATCTGGAAGGAGGGTCTTTTGCTGGGCATTGACATGTTTTACTTTAATGCATCCCTCATTCCCATGGTGATTTCCATAGGGCTGTGTCCCATATGAGAGTCCCTTTAATATGCCAGGTTTCCATTGCACTCTTGCCTTACCACATGGCCAGGCTGCTGGCCATTGCCCATGAATCAGAAACTGAAAGATATGGGCATTTATCACTGTTCAATTCTTCCATCACTTCTAGGAAAATAGCAGATTATTCAGCTCACCTAGCTGATTTGTTTTTACCTTCCTTAATTACAGTGGTGGTGTTCCAAACAGCATGTTGTCCATTTACCTTAAAACTAACATCCACAGCCCCAGGCATGGTGGCTTATGCCTGTAATCCTAAAACTTTGGGAGGCTGCACAGAGCAGGGGGACCGTGGACCCAGCCCAGGAAACCGTTTTTTCTTCCTAGACTTCTGGGCCTGTGATGGGAGGGGCTGCTTTGAAGTCCTCTGATATACTCTGGAGACATTTTCCCCAGTGTCTTGGTAATTAACATTAGGCTCCTCATTACTTATGCAAATTTATGCAGCTGGTTTGAATTTCTCCTCAGAAAACGAGTTTTTCTTTTCTATCACATTGTCAGACTGCAAATTTCCCAAATTTGTTGCTCTGCTTCCTTTTGAATACTTTGCTGCTTAGAAACTTCTTCCACCAGATGAGCGTAAATTAGTTCAACCATTATGGAAGACAGTGTGGCGATTCCTCAAGGATCTAGAAATAGAAATTCCATTTGACCCAGCAATCCCATTACTGAGTATATACCCAAAGGATTATAAATCGTTCTATCATAAAGACACATGGACACGTATGTTCATTGCAGTGCTGTTTACGATAGCAAAGACCTGGAACCAACCCAAATGCCCATCGATGATAAACTGGACAAAAAAATGTGGCACATATACACCATGGAATACTATGCAGCCATAAAAAATGATGAGTTTGTGTCCTTTGTAGAGACATGGATGAACCTAGAAACCATCATTCTCAGCAAACTGACACAAGAACAGAAAACCAACACCACAAGTTTTCACTCATAGGCAGATGATGATCAATGAGAACACTTGGGCACAGAGAAGGGAACAACACTCACAGGGCTAGATCAGGGGGTGGAGGAGAGGGGAGGGGAGGGAAGGGACAGCAGTGGAGGGTGGGGAGGATGGGGAGGGATAACACCAGGAGAAATGCCTGATGTAGGCAATGGGGGAGGGGGGAAATGGAGACAGCAAACCACCATGGCATGCATGTACCTATGTAACAATCCTGCAGGATGCAGGACGTGCACATGTACCCCAGAGCCCAAATACAATTAAAAAAAAAGAAAAGAAATTTCTTTCACCAGATACCCTAAATCATCTCTCTCAAGTTCAAAGCTCCACAGATCTCTAGGGTAGGGACAAAATATTGCCAGTCTCTTTGCTAAAGCATACCAAGAGTTACCTTTGCTCCAGTTCCCAAGAAGTTCCTCAACCCATCTGAGACCACCTAAGCCTGGACTTCATTGTCCATATCACTGTCAGCATTTTAGTCAAAAGGATTCAACAAGTCTCTAGGAAGTTCCAAGGCTTCCCAATATCTTCCTGTCTTCTGAGCCCTCTAAGTCTCTAGGAAGCTCCAAACTTTCCCACATTTTTCTATCGTCCACTGAGCCCTCCAAACTGTTCCTACCCCTGTCTGTTACCCAGTTCCAAAGTTGCAGCCACATTTTTGGATATCTTTATAGCAACACCCCATTCTCTGTGGTACCAATTTACAGTATTAGTCCACTTTCACACTGCTGTGAATACCCAAGACTGGGTAATTTATAAAGAAAAGAGGTTTAATTGACTCACAGTTATGCATGGCTGGGAAGGCCTCAGGAAACTTACAATCATAGCAGAAGGCATCTCTTCACAGGGCAGCAGAAGAGAGTGAGTGCCAGCAGGGTAAATATCGGATCTTGTGAGAACCCACTCACTATCACGAGAACATGGGGAAACTGCCCCCATGATTCAGTTACCTCCCACCAGGTCCCACCCATGACATGGGATTATGGGGCTTACAATCAAGATAAGATTTGGATGGGGACACAGCAAACCATATCACCTGGGTAATGGGCATATTCAGTGCATGAATCCTGATTATCACAAAGTCAGGTCCACATGGTTTGCATATGAAGCGTATCTGCTGCTTCATCTGGGTTGTTCCATTGAAAGGGGAAGTCAGATAGTTCCCCTTCTGCGGGTAAATGGACCTTATAATGGCTGATATCTG